TCCGCTCCGGCGACGAAGTGGCCAAATGCAAGCAAGTCTACTGCGACCCGTCGTACGTGACCGACCGCGTCAACAAAGTGGGACAAGTGATCCGTTGTATTTGTCTCCTCAACCATCCCATTCCCAACACCAAAGACGCCCTCTCGTGTCAGATCATCATTCCTCAGAAGCAAGTCGGACGCAAATTCGGTACGTTTTACACAACTCTACTCCCAAACCATTGTTGACATCTGCTCTCCATTACCTTTAATGACAGATATCTACGTATCGCTGGTTTCGTTCACACATCAAGTGGCGGCCAAGGGTTGGTTCGTCGCAATGGTCAGCACCACTGTTGAGACTAATAATCCCGAGGCAGAGATTAAGCCCGGATTAGATCTTTTGGGACCAATCAAACAAAAGTATAAATAATTAGTTTATTTGAATAGAATGTAAACTAATGTTGAATTGTATGTAAGGTTTGTTTCTGTGAGCGATCTCTACAAGCCGTTAGACGACGGCAAAGAGAATCAGATATTTATATCGCAATCGTTTGACGCGACGTCTCATTTCGAGACCACGTGTTCCGATGTTCTCGATATCTTCAGACGTGGAACCGGAGAGGACTTTGATTTCTCGAAAGTGAAACTCGATTTAAACGATGACCAGTGAGTGCTTCACTAATTGATTCACCACTAGATTTAAATTTCTTTTTCTTTAATATTTTTAATTACCAATAATTTGTGAAACATTTATATTATTATTGTATGAATTTATTATTAAATGAATGAGATATTGGAATTTGGATCGCATTTTATGTTGAGTTTAAGCTGTTTTTGACCATTTATTCAATTTTTTGACTAAAAAAGACTTATATTATTGATATTTCCGTAAAATGTAAATCGATTTGAATGAACATGAATTCAAGTGTCATTCATGTGTCGATCATTCCCTATATTTTTATATTACATTTTATTAATTATTTACTAAATTTACTCTTAAAGTAACTAAAATTCTAATTAAGTTTAATTGTATGCGATCAAACTTTTAGGACATCTTTTCAAAATTTAATGTAACATTTAATAGTAATTGGATTTATAATTTAAATTCTTACTATCAGTTAATTATAACCAATATTAAAATTAATTCTAAACTTGAAATGTGTTTCAAAACGATATTCTTAATTCGTATAATAGAGTGTTTGTTATGTATTGTCAATATATCTTATATAAAGCCGAATAAAATTGTCTAAATTTTAAAGTTATTACTTTTGAATTGTTTTAAAAGAATATTANACTCACTGGTCATCGTTTAAATCGAGTTTCACTTTCGAGAAATCAAAGTCCTCTCCGGTTCCACGTCTGAAGATATCGAGAACATCGGAACACGTGGTCTCGAAATGAGACGTCGCGTCAAACGATTGCGATATAAATATCTGATTCTCTTTGCCGTCGTCTAACGGCTTGTAGAGATCGCTCACAGAAACAAACCTTACATACAATTAAACATTAGTTTACATTCTATTCAAATCAACTAATTATTTATACTTTTGTTTGATTGGTCCCAAAAGATCTAATCCGGGCTTAATCTCTGCCTCGGGATTATTAGTCTCAACAGTGGTGCTGACCATTGCAACGAACCAACCCTTGGCCGCCACTTGATGTGTGAACGAAACCAGCGATACGTAGATATCTTTCATTAAAGGTAATGGAGAGCAAAGATTGTCAACAAATGGTTTGGGAGTAGAGTTGTCTAAAACGTACCGAATTTGCGCCCGACTTGCTTCTGAGGAATGATGATCTGACACGAGAGGGCGTCTTTGGTATTGGGAATGGGATGGTTGAGGAGACAAATACAACGGATCACTTGTCCCACTTTGTTGACGCGGTCGGTCACGTACGACGGGTCGCAGTAGACTTGCTTGCATTTGGCCACTTCGTCGCCGGAGCGGACGCCCACAACCTTCCCGTTCTCCATCACCAGTTCGTCCACCTGTTTGTCCAACATATAAGTGCCGCCATATATAGCGCTGAGTCGCGCGAAGCCTTGCGGCAGTTCTCCCAATCCGTACAGTGGATACAGATATGGACTCTTTCCATAGCGAGCCAACGACTCGCTGTAGAGCTTCACGCGATTTATCAGATCTAAACACGACTCCTGTAAGTACCTGTCGATCAAACATAGAGTGCACTCAATGTTATAGCTCTCCAACAAAGCGAAACCAAACACTCACTCGTCGTTACGATAGAGCGCCAGTGCGTGTCCGGTGAAGTCAGCGGTGTCTCTGTCCAAACCAAACTTCTCGTACAACTGAAGCCCAGTTGTGGTCTTTGGGTCGATATCCTTCCATGTCTTCGGATCCTCTTTATTGAAGTCCTGAACAAACAGCAGAAAACTGCGGAAACGCCTCTTTTCAAACATTCCCATCAAACCTAACATTATATCAAACATTCATTACTAATCATCGAGTATTGAAATGACTGTAAATGCAGTACTGGAAGAGAGGGCCTCCTTCTCATCGGCGGGCACTTTGAATATTTTGCCCCCTTTGTAGACATAACTCCCTTCGCATGACTTGAACTCCAGATAACGGGTAACTCCCGTATGGATCAGTAGTTTCACTAAAGAACCTAATCATCAACAGAAACGAGGCTTTAATTGAAGGCAATGTCAGACATATGAATGAATAGCAAACCATTAGCCATCAGAAACTTTGGGATCAGGTCTACATTCCAATCACGTGATCGACCGAACTCTTCGACGGGAGTATTGGTGGCGTCGAAACCAAATTTGGACAACAAGTCCTCCAGAGGTGTGATCGACGCGCTCTCTCCTCCGTAATACTTGTTGCGATCCATATGAAGAACCTTCTGACCCGACACCGACAGCATTCCACTCAGGATACACTCCTGACCACCAAAACAACAACCAATCAGCAAAACAACACATCAACACATCATCACAACCATAATGTGGCCACACATGGCATGCATGGGTCACACATACCTTGAGTCCCGTCCCCAACACAATCGCATCGTATTGTTCATCCATTTGTGGCCGAGAAGTGAGACAATGGCTAAGGTTTGCTAACTTTGCACACAATTCAAGTGACAGTGAATGCAATGATCGCCGGCTCTAATCACTTAAGCCTTCACTTTGAGTCATACAACTACTCAATGCAACACTTGTTCACTCAATCACTGCATTCACACATTACGTGACATCACATCAATTCTGTTCCCTTCACTCAACCCTATATCAAATATCAAGCAATAATTCTGCATTTACTATATTTTACCCTATTTTTTAAATTATAAACTTCATGCTTTATAAGTTAAATCCAATATTATTGGGCCGATAATCGAAAGTTTGTTGTGTTTTTAAAGAGTACAATTTGCAATTACAACGAAACAGTATTTATTAATTTAATCAGATATTAAATAATTGCAGCATAATATGCTCTTACAGTATAATTTCTCATGGCTTTACTAAAATTGGTGCAACAATTTATTAAATGTACATTGATTGTATTTTTACTTGTATAATGTACACAATACAATTGCATTTTTCTGCGAAGGTCGCGGTTTATATGCCCACACATTAAGGTTCCAATTAACTAAAATAAGTTTTGTATTTTAGTTAATAGATTCAATTAAATAGAATATAGGAATTTTTAGATTTTTTGTAAACTATATGTAATGAGTCCACCTAGGTGCAAATTGTGCCTCTTCGTGTTTATAAATTATAACTTATATTATAAGTATTGTAATTATAAGTCTTATAATTACATAACTTATATAATATTGAATGTATGCAAGCAGATGTACAGAATGTTTAAAAATTAAAAGATGGGTTATTCTGAATAAGTTACTAATTAACTGTTAATTGTGACAACTTTTGAATTGCGTCCAACTTTGAACACACAGTCCATGCAATGGCCAAACATTTAGTAGAGGACGTGTGGCAGTGATGTGCCATTCGGTGCCGAACTTGCATTCAACTAATGATGGGCTCATTGCAAGCAAACCTCTGCCATCACTCCAACTCATTTTAATTCAACTTCATAAAAATAGATTTTAGTTATTTCGTAACAAAGTTGTTGCTCTATCTGTTGAAAGTATTGCAAATATATTGAAAGTATTCTCATCTCGTTTGAAAAAAAATTAAGCAAAAACAACAGAGTATGGTATAAATGTGATAAAATTAGTCTTTGTTCTTTTAAATTCCAAATATTGTACTGTATGGCAAAATGTCAGTTACACTTTGTAGCAATGATCTGGACGCTTATTAATTAGATATATAGTTTATAAATATATAGATTCCGCAATTTTGTGCACATTTAGGAATTAGTCTAAAAGAAATTCTTAAATAAAGTCATAAAAATACATATAATGAGGTGAGTTGAACTAAATGTACCATGATGGTACTACCATCTCAAATAGTATTTGTTTAATGCATATGTTTAGCTGTTATCTGAATAGAATATATTAAATGGATATAATCATCTGTCAAAGAGTTGATGTCTCATTTGGGGTATGATTAGTTAGTTTAGTATTTGGTGTCACTTTGCCTGCAATGATGTTATAATAATTGTTTCAAAAAGTTTGATTCAAATCAGCGTTCAGTGTATTGTATGGACTTTTAAGTGGAAGAGTGTGAGTCACCAAACAGTGTGCACTGTATTCAATGTTAACGTATATTGAGAGTAGAATGAGTGGAAACGGGAATTCAAAGCCTAGTGGCACAGCCCTAACAGCCCTAACGTTCAAATCCTACAAATACTACACTATTATACAGACTATAGTACTCTTGTTTAAGTGAACACTATTTCACACACATTGCCATACATTGCATTACAAACACATTTAAATGAAGTGATCATAAATGCAAATGAATTAATTTCAATCAATTCAGATGAATAAACAGTCAAAACACAAATATCGAGAGTATTTATTGAATAAAGTGGTGAAAAGTGGGTAATTATAACGAGAGTCTGGTTGTAGTGGATGTGCGCTCTGTGCAGATGTGGTCGAGTCTACAGTCTATACACGAGTATTCATATCAGTGAGCGTTTTGTGGAGTGAATCTCATTTTCATAGACACTAAACACTGTATTATTATTTAGTATTAAGTGTATTAAGTGAACGTTTCCTGCATTTTGTGGCATTAAATTTGATACATATTTACCATCAGTGAACTGATCCGACGGACACACACCCAACAGGTATAACACTTTGCATGTTTGACGACATTGTCTTTATGATGACTTGATGTGATCTCATCGATGATTAGGTGACCAATGCGTGAATACAAGATAGTAGTGCTCGGGTCGGGAGGTGTGGGCAAGAGTGCACTGGTATGTCATTCACACCGATTCTCTTATTATTGTCTAATTGACTAATTGTTGGTATATTTTATTTGAATGTATGACTCATTGGCAAACAGACGGTTCAATTCGTTCAGGGTTTGTATTAATTGATCCATTGATTGTGTTATCAATGTTTGTCTCAATACTAACAGTAATGTAATTGTGATGAATGACAGGTATTTTTGTGGAGAAATACGACCCGACTATTGAAGACAGTTATCGAAAGCAAGTGGAAGTGGACGGACAGCAATGTATGCTTGAAATACTGGACACCGCCGGCACTGTTAGTGATAATGTGATGCTTGTGTTGATGTGTTTGATGTCTAATGTGTTGAATGTAACGATAGGAACAATTCACGGCAATGCGTGACCTGTACATGAAGAATGGTCAGGGGTTTGTGTTGGTCTACTCGATCACAGCGCAGTCCACTTTCAATGACTTACAGGACTTACGCGAACAGATTCTTAGAGTGAAGGACACCGACGACGTGCCTATGATTTTGGTGGGAAATAAGTGTGATTTGGACGATGAAAGGGTTGTGGGCAAAGACCAGGGTGCAAATCTGGCCCGATCTTTCAATAACTGTGCGTTTCTCGAGTCTTCAGCCAAAGCCAAGATTAATGTGAATGAGGTATAGATGATGGTAGCCATGGATGATATGATGCTAGTGTTGTAATGATTGTATCACATGTATAGATATTTTACGACTTGGTTCGACAGATCAATAGGAAAAACCCAGAGAAGAAACAACGGCCCCCTCGGAAACCCAGATGTGTTTTGTTGTAATTAAGTTAACATAATTAAGATATTTAATTGCTTTTAGACTCCATTCAAACGAATAACTGATAAAAGAAAGTATAAAACAATTGATTGCCTGTAAAATACATTTCCCGTTTTGAGCCAATACTATAAGTCTATACTATTCTTATTTGAAGAATCCATTTTCAAGTCTTCATATAATGAACTCATTTTATTACAATTTATATCTTTATCACTAGTTATATATATAATACTTTACATTGTTTTTAAGATTCATTTTAGAAAGAGTTCTAAATAAGTGACACAAACGGCACATATTTTTCTCTACCAAAAATCAATTATTATATCAAATGATCAAAAATTAATTTAATTTCTAAGTCATGAATTGGTTTATTTTATTCTTTTGGTTTTTGCTCAAAGTTTTATCCAAAATGTCATTTTATATACTTTTTAAACGCATGAATTTAGTATTAAATTTATCTCAAAACTGTTAAATTATTATTTATATATTGGAAAAGTTCACAACTTTTTACTGCATAAGGAAACCAATTGTTTTTGGCATTAAATCTATAAATAATGTGAAATGTTTCAATTGTTTGCCAATTAATGCTTTTGATAGCAATTAAACAAATGTTGATTTGGTGTTAAATAACCGATTGTTGACCCAACGCACCACTTCTTATCATTAAATTTATTTAAAAACCTTTATTTCTATTATAATATAGAAGTTTATTATTGTATTTGTAAAACAAGAACCGATCGCACATTCGGTGCTATTTTCTGTTTCTATTACATTACAGTTGAAATGAAAAGTAATTTAACTTAAAATCAAATTTAATAAAACTTCCCTTTTATTGAATCGAATTCAATGTCACAAACGATATGATTGTTTAGAAAACAATTCAGTGATTGTAATCATTATTGACATTAAAGTGCCCGCAATCTTACGCTTTCATTCATTTTCCTAATAAATCATATTTAATACACCGAACACCTCATGTCTCACTTCTTCAGCAGTTTCTTCACTACTAAACCACAAACTCTATCATCAAATGTCAAAACACTTCAATCACAGGTAAGTGACTGACAATAATAGAGAATTTTTCAATTTTATACCAAAACTTATATTCAACAATATATTCAATTCCTATCAGAATATTCTTTAAGTACTTTTGAATAGATTTGAGTTCATTGAAAGTAGAAATTGATTTTTACTACAAATGATTGATATATACATGTATAGGTAGAGTGTATGTAAATTAAACGATTAATTATGATGATAATATAAATGTTGTAATGATTTATGAATATATTGTGTAAAGTGTTAACACAATTATGGTGTTTGATTGGAAATAATGGTTGAGTTTTGAGTGCATTGCTAACAGTTGTGATGATTTGATGTACAGTACTGTGTGTTATAGAGTGGTTGGGAATGAAGTGGTGTATCAGTAGTACTACTATTACTACTGCTGGTAGAGAAAGGCGTGATTCACCGAAAAGCCATTCATTTATGTGTAGTGTATATGAAGTGATGTTTATATCCATACATAACATACAGACTGTAGTCACTACAGTGTAGTCACTGTACACTACTGTACACTCTATGAGTAGAGAGACATAAGTATAGCATTTGAGGCAATCAAATGTCCAAACGATTCAACACTTATTATATAACAGTAATAGTTGTCATCAAATGGTCGACACATTCAACACTTAAGACATGCTTTTAATGAGCAAAAGCTATCGATTGTCTCACATTTACCACATTTACCACTCATTCATTTGATTCATATGTGTATCCAATTATTGGTCAACAAATCGTGATTTGATTTCGTTATACATCTATTAAATCGTGAAATTAATTAATGCTTTGAAAGCAATGCCTCTCTTCGGCAAAAAGGATCAAAACCGACGACAAAACCGTGACTTAAGTGAGGAATATATCAACACCTGTTCCGTCGAAGATGTCTATACTATCAAAGACCTGTTGGGAACGTATGTACACATGAATGCGACCATCATTTCTAGCACTTGATCTCAATTGTTGTCGTTTCTGAACCAGTGGTGCGTTTTCTCAGGTGTTTTTGGCCCAACACAAAGTCGATGCCAACCGAATGGTTGCCATCAAATGCATCGACAAAAGGGCTCTTAAGGGCAAAGAAGACTCTCTCGACAACGAGATCAAAGTCCTCAGAAAGTGAGCATTACTTCACATTTGTTACACTTTATTACCATTTATTTAGAGTCTAATCATATTGTTTATGATCTCAACCATAATTGTGTCACATTTTGATTACAATTTTGTTTACTTTACTTTCAATTAATTGTAGTCAACAAATAAATATAATTTCAAACTAATCTCATTTAAATGTATTTAGAAATTATTTTTTAATGAGTCAAATATTTAGTCAATTAATGCTATTTAATAATTGGGTTTTACGTTAAGATGATTAGCCTTTGAAATGATGGACAAAACTGATAGCCATTTATTGGTTCACATAATTATTGATTTACTAACAAAATTTCAGTTTTAGAAAAATATATTAATTAAAAATAACTGTAAAAGTAATATAAATAAAAGCTATTAAACGATTGATTTATGATTTGTTTGCTTAAATTGTTTGATATTTTTTTGAATATAAATGAAAAATACATTTTATATTGAATTATTGATTTTAACTGCTTTTAGGATTAGGTTTTAATATGTGAATGATTTAAATACCAAAATTGTGACCAAATTAAATGATATAAAAGGTTGTAAAAGTCTAACAGTTAGACTTTTACAACATTAAGAAACATTGATTTAATTATAGAAATGGTTAGCAATAAAGACCAATAATAGCAATATTGTTATGCATTTTCTCTTTGGTATGCAATTAGTGAAACAATCTTTGATTAAAGTGTCGTTGAGATTACAATTTGCTACTAAATGACACTGACTTTGACATGGGTTTAATTGCTTTGAGATTGTATTAGTTTTGACCATAAATTGGTTATAATTTGCTGATTATATGAATATTGGATTTACAGACTTAAACACACAAATATTGTTCAATTGGTTGAAACATTTGAAGACAAGTTTAATTGCTTTGAGATTGTATTAGTTTTGACCATAAATTGGTTATAATTTGCTGATTATATGAATATTGGATTTACAGACTTAAACACACAAATATTGTTCAATTGGTTGAAACATTTGAAGACAAGAATAAAGTATATCTAGTAATGGAATTGTAAGTTAAATATGAGTTAAATATATAATAGTTGTATAAATGTATGGTTGAATTGAAGAGTAATGGGCGGCGAGTTATTTGACCGGATTGTCGAAAAGGGTAGTTATACTGAAAAAGATGCCTCACATCTCATTAGACAGATCTTAGGGGCTGTCGATTACATGCATTCGTGTGGAGTCGTTCACCGAGATCTTAAAGTAATATACATTTCTTTGTATTCACGTTTTGATCCAAAGTTTTTTGTTTCAATCAATAATAAATGATTTGCATTTGTGCGACGAATAGCCCGAAAATCTTCTGTATTATAGTACTGATGAAGACTCGAAAATAATGATCAGTGACTTTGGACTCTCTAAGATGGAAGAGTCGGGAGTAATGGCCACCGCTTGTGGTATGCATTTATTGCCAATTTATTTGTATGAATAAAGTATTTGGAAAACGAGTAATGTCCTTGGGGACCATACAGGAGTTATCATTAACTAACATAAAAATGATTTTGTATGATAAATAAATCCTATACAGCGTGGTCTCCATACAGAATTTACATTTGTTAAATGATCTTTATATAATTATTAATAATTCATTTTAATTCTTAAATACAATAAATTCATAATTTTTATCAGAAATTGTGTTTTAAGGAACTAAACATTGACTATAAAGTACAGAGTGAGAAATTTATGATTAATTGAGTAAATCCAGTAAATGATTAACCAACAATTTAATTGTAATCTAATTTTATTAACAAATAATAAGGAATTTTAAAACAATTATAAATTATGAAAATACAGTACAGTATTCTTCAGTTATAACTTATACGTAAATTATGAGCCAATGAATAAAGCACTTCAGAATATTTATTTACAATGTTTCAAATATAATTAGGTTCAAGTGTTCCAATGATTATAAATCTTAAAATGTATTATATAAACAGGTTATTTACTAAAAACAATTATTAAACATGATTTATGATTATTTACATTATAATTAATTTGTTCTAACATTTAAAATACGTATATTTAAATCTCGACAAACAGAATAGTATTGTTTTTGTTATATAAGTTACAAGTCTATAGACACTATAGTGTTGGTCTAATAGCCAAATTAAAACTTGATAACTGAAAAATGAGAAAAATGCATAAATCTGATTTATTAAAATTGTTTGATACCATTGTTTGTGTTCTTTTTACTTAATTTACATAATTAAACTACTGACCATAACTCCATAACCGTGTTTTTGGAATACCATTTAGTCATCTACAAACCTCGTAACCTCACTAACGTATGTATAATAACACGCCAATAGGCGCTTTCTATGACGAAAACGACGCCAATCTTTTTGCTCAGATATTAAAAGGAGACTTTGAGTTCGACAGCCCTTATTGGGACGACATCTCAGACTCGGCCAAAGACTTTATTAGACATTTAATATGCGGTAACTATTGTTGTCTTCTTAATAAGCGCTCAGTTTCTTATTCAGCATTTGATTTCAGTTGATGTAAGCAAACGCTACACATGTAAGCTTGCATTGGCTCATCCATGGTATGAGATTATGATTGCAAATGTAATTACATGTTTACAAAAATGGTAAACGAGATTTAGATCCTATAGACCGTTATGTCGGTTTCTATGCTTATAAGTACCTAGTCAGTCACTTGTCGAATTCTTCTTAAAACGGTTTTGATTTACCTCTCATTCATAATTTATGTTCGGACAATATAATTGAAATGATGTCTAAAAGCATCTATGTTCGAAACCCATAGCAAGCATATAACGCAACAGCAGTGATACGGCAGATGCGAAAGCTAGCGATGGGTAGTTCTGGAACTTCTTTAGACCAAACCAGTGATGCAGTGATTACTGATTCATCTGATACTCAAAGCCAACTGTTCTCGAAATTATCACATTTAGAAACAGAGGACACTGTGGACACTGTTAGCCCTTTGCCAACAGTTAACTCTTCCGACTAATGGACACAATTATATCAAATAACGAGTTAATCTCTAAATGTAACAAATACTCAGTTGTATAAGTGATGCAAAACTCAACCTTAAGAGCAAACGCTGATTGACACCCATATCTCATTAGATCTTAACAAACCATTGGATATATTATATAA